TGCAGCACGCACATTAGAACAAGCATTTTTTTCTAGGGTTTTCATCTACCTTCTGTAGAAGTCCGATATCGCCTTGCAACGCGGCGAAACTGTACGAATCTAAATTCACGTAGTTAATTGGTGACTGTTGTACGATACAACATCGCAGGACACCCTAAGACAGCTCACTGCCCTGGTCGACGCCCAAACAGCTACTGTTGGGGCCTTGTAGTGTAATGGACGTCCTCCGTACAGGAATGGTTGTGTGAAAAACTATTTCAATCTAAGCTGTAACATGTCTTGCCTCCAACAGTGTCCTGAACCAGTCAAAAAGATTTAAAATTTGTTAAAAGACATTATGTTGGCTTGTATAAGGGAAAGGCCATAGGTTGTCGGCAACGATTGCCGAAGTTGTTGGCGTTGCCGAGGTTGCCGGCGCTGCCGGTCGTTGTAGGACCTCATGACACGTTTCGAGCTAAGCTGTCTCTGACCCCGGCAACGCCGTCAACCTCGGCAACCCCAGCAACCCGGCAACCTCGGCAACCGTTGCCAGCATTTATGACCGTTCTGTGAGCAGTAAATTAGCTATCGAATTGGCAAACCTAAGTGCTGTCGCATAGTCCTTACTCATGACAGTTAACGTCACTACTACGATCATGTGGAATAACAAGTGTTGTAATACGATGGTCACATTGCAACTGAAATCATCAGTCATCGCCTAGCTATAAATAGCCACCTTGCGATAGCACTTTAAAGTCAGTCGCTGCGATCTGCAGTCCACTGATATCACCATGCTCATCCGCATTTTAATCATGGCATATCTGATCTGCGCTACAATGGCTCAATTTTGGCCCCTTTTTCCACCAGATGGCAGCAAAGTTGTGTTGTTTGGCGATCAATACAACGGCGTGTATCTCACCTGCAACGGACGAACCTGCTCAATAAGGAAATGAAAAAGATCTATTCAGTTATTATTCTAAATCTTGTTGAATACGTCAGTCTCAATACAGATCGTAACCCGCTTTTTTTCTTCACTTTGTTGTTGATTCCGTTCTTTCCATGTCTTTGCCTCTTCACAGTTTTTGTTGTATATTATTCATTTGCACATGTTGTATATATTCATCCTGTTAAAATCTCACTAATCTTTTGTTTAGTTTGCTTGCTTGTTTGTTTTGATTTTGTGCATAGTATACTGTAACTAATGAAAATCGACAATGGTGGGTTCTGACTAGCGCGATCTTCATTCAAGCGCTCAAAGTTCTTAATGTTATTTGTACGAAAGTCGGTAGAAGAATGAATCTGCCTCTCTTCGTATAGTTTTAGCAGCCTTGTTATACTAACAGGGAAGGTATATGACACGCAGTGGAGTTTTCTTATGAAGTGTATATCAGTCGAAAGGTCTTTGGGCGCTGATCTCAAAACAACCCCTCCATATCTGCTTATCTGTATACTGAAGAAAGTTACAGGCATTTCTTTGGCTTCAAATGACAATGATTTTGGTTGCTCATTGCAGAACTAAGGCAGCAGAGTAGCTCTAAAACTAATGTCAACAATTTTTCTATGCACAGTAAATATATCTCAGACATTTGGGCATGTAACTTTGGACCAAGTTCGTATTTACTACGAATTTAGGTCATTTACAAAGTCCCTGCCATGCAAAGTGAACGCGGAAAAGTGCCTCTAACTTTGTTCAGTAAACCGATAAGCAGATATGGAAAGCTGTTATGAAAACAGCGCTCAAACACCTTTCGAGTGATATACACCTCATAGGGAAACTCCACTGCGAGTCATATACCTTCCCTCTTAAGCAAACAATTTAGTGCATAAAAGCCCCGACTCAACGCGAGGGCACCGCTACGACATCGTGAAATTTTTGAGACACAAGGTGTCTCAAACGTAACTACACACTTTTCCGTCACTGATACCAAAACGTCTTTTGTTTAGCCTAAAGTAACATTCAGTAGGGCGGACTTTAGCTTAGATTTGCAACATGGAGCGGATCATACATCACTCCACATTGCGGGATTACGGTAGGGACTTTGAAGAGGGTTTTGAGCCATCAATGGCTACGTCTTGCTCCAAAATCAATACTCAAAATCTGAAAACTTTGTCATCAGGCTGGACTAAGTTGCTGACTACGAATAAGAGGTTCGCACACTATCGTTAGACTTTTCTTAAAAGTTTTGCCAAGAAAATCGCAATAATGACTTTTCAGTGTTTTTGAAACATGATTAAAGTATTAAAAACGCTTCAGAATTCGTAGCTATATACATCGTGATTCTATACCTTGAAGCCTATTCTACTGAACGGTGGTTAAAGCTAAGTAAAATACTTTGTGGGAAGAGAATTACTAACGATTAAGATGTGTGTACTTACTTTTGGGACACCCTATACATTGGCTGGATTCCCACTAATAGGAAGAAAATCGACTAGTTTTGGATAGCTGAGAAAATTTGGTTAAATTCGTTCAAAGCAAATCTTATAGAAAGAATCTGCAGGAAATTGAGAACGTTTCAATGCTCAAAGCTGGAGTCTTGCAAAAAACTTAGGAATGAGCATATACTTATGGAAATCCTTTGAAACACAGTGGATCACGATTTTTACACAGCTTTGTTTTTATTTGACATTATCAAGTAAACACCATAAGGACTTACTTCACTCGGCCAAGACATCAATGATTCATAATCATGAGGTCACGAATCAAGAAGCATCGCAAGTGATTATGATCATTCCACGTCATCGCCGCAATTGACCTTTAGCTAAATTGCTATGACAGCTTGATCTTTTCGGCATAATTAGTCATAGAATTACTCCCTCATGTCGATGCTGTATTGAGTGTCGCATTACTAGGAGAATAACGGTATTCTTAGCTGTTGAAAATCACATGCTGTAATTCAAAGCGGCCAGCTATGGTAAGGAAATAGTGAATAGCATAGGACGTCTGCATTCACGGTGACTTCTGGCGCAACCGCGCGTTGACTTTACAGAGACGTAAGTGTGTAGAAGGATATCTAGAAGAAAGTATATACCGTAGAAGGGATCTATTGCGCTTGGCGCAGAATCGCTTTTACACCGATTCTGCGCCAAGCGTTAGTGAAGATCAGGACATTCGATAAAGCTTTTTATCTCCTTTGAGCAGTTATGTTATCATCAATTCAATCAATAAGTTCTTAGAAGAATGCCGAAGCATGCAACCATGTTTTTTGTGATCAAGTCATCTTTGTCTTTTTTCGTAGTTTTTTGAATTTTTATACTGCTGCCATCGAAGACGCGTTCGAGCTGCATTTGAGGCCGCGCAGTTTGCCCCAACCCTGACGCTTGCCAACGTTGGCTGAGGCGGAATAGCGCCTCTTGGAGTGTGTTACACAGAACACGAAAGCATTGAAAGCGTTTCATTGAGACAGACGACGATCACGTGCTAGTGCAGTGGTAATAGAATTCTGAGCATGGTAGCGTGGCAATGTATGTTAGTAAGCATCTGATCAATAAGCATTCTTAACAACAGGTCATGCTGGACCACGCTTATGTCATGACCTTTACGTTACCTTGGCGGCAGATATCTTACAAGAAAGAAGGTGTCTGTATTATCGGCATAGTGAATCCTTTTGCAGCTTATCCAAAGTTAGAGCACGCAAAGTTCTTTCAGGATTACCATGTATCTCACAGAGTCTTACCAGAATTTACACATACGAAGATTTTTCATTTTCCTTTCCAATAAATCATGCAATGGCTAAGTCTGAGGAATCTTACTTCAAGGAAGGGTTATGATACTGAGAATTTTCTACCCGAGTTCGTCCTTGCTCTCGGAGTAGCTATACAGAATTTCTGCCTTCTTAAAAAACATTATTAGCATATTTTTCACCATTGAAAGTAGACTGAATGCCTAAATTCGGTCTAGAGTCCTGAACAGCCTTGCCCTTGTTCTATGACAACTAGGTCACCAGTATTATTAGTGGATAGAAGTTAACTCGAAATTTTCGTTTATATCTGAAAGTTTGACGTGCGTACATACGTATGCACGAATGCTAACTGATAGAGTTGGGGCGTGCATGCTATGCATGCGGTCGTCAACGTGATGTAGAATAGAGCTGAATATTGTTCTTTTTTGAGTTTGCAAATAACTGGAAGACCTTAGCCTTGAGAAGACTTGAAAAGTACAAAAAGGACAAGCTTGTTTTCTTCTTGTTCTTCTGCATTACATACCCACCCCCACCTAGGCGAATGGTGGACAGCTAGACATGCTTCGCAGCAGAAAGATTTCGAAAATAAGCGCAAGTGATCTGTTCTCGTTGCCAAAATGATTTTTAAACAAAAAAATTGTGTTTCGAAGAAATTCGTAGAAAGTGGCTAACGTCACACCCTTTCTCAAAGTTGAGTTGAAGGTGGTGAATCGGCAAAACTTGACAACTCAGGATTTTAAACGCGGTAGGTTGCTTATCACCCAAGTAGGAGAACAGTGCAGTTCCGATCGCAGAGCATGCCCTCCTGCTGAGCAAAATTACGCTTAAGCTTTCACGCGAAAGCCAATCTTACGCTTCAGCTTGCTCCACTCGTCCAATTTCAAAGCGAAGGACATCGAAAAATGGTTGTTTTCGGCACTTTCAAGCTCTCTGGAGAGAACTTTTGGGATCAGCGCATTGATTAACCCCAGGAAAGAGATTTGACTAGGTTAAAATTTTCCGAGCCACTGCCTTTATAAGCTTGTAAGAAATAGAGCCATTTTTTGGAGGAATTCCGAGGAGTGAGTCTGAAATTCGTCTTCTCGCCCTGCCGCGAAAGGATTGCGACCGCCTCTGCTCATTTTCCTCATCCAATGGCTATGAGTATAAAACAACCAACCCATCACTGCACAAACTCCATTCTATACAAGTTTTATTTTGAGAGCAGAAGTGATGAAGCAACCGGGAAGTCATAATAAGCACATGAGAGAGATTGTCGGCAATGAGAGCGTTAATAAATGCGAGAGCTTTTTTGTGGCAAGGAACGTCGACGAGGAGCTGAGGAGCGGCTCGGCGCGGATATGACCCCATCGCGCTCCGCATGGCGCAATAAAAGAGGTTTGAGGGAGCGGACTATGCTTGGCGATCGCTGCGCGGACATCAGACGGTGCTGATCAGCGAGTTGTTTCTTCGGCTACTATAGCCAGTCGGATGTATGCTGATGTTCGTCTCTTTCCAGCCACGTCGTGAGCCCTGGAATAATTTTTGTTACAGGCAGCGTCTACCCAATTTGAAGGTGGTAAGATTTAATGATGTATAATAGCCGAGTCCCCAATTGATTAGTCCCCCAAGTTCGATTGCAAAATGTGAATTCAAACGCGAGAAAATCACTTCTTAGGTAAAAGCGGCAGTGGTCTTCCCGCCCATCAACGTAGGTGGTTTGAAGATACAAGTCCAAAATTGGGCTTGAATTTATCCAGAAGGTGAGATTTTTGACAACACGATGGAAAGGATTTTCGATAAATTCAAACATACTCAAGCCCAATTTTGGGTGTATGTTTGATTTATACCTTCAGAAAACTCGCGGTGATGGGCGGAGCAACCATCGCCGCTTCTACTTTCTGAAGTGATTTTCTAGCGTTTGACTTCACCTTCTGCAGTGAAATTTAGGGAATTGCTTACGTAGGGGCCCCGCTATTATTCCGCACCAAACAGAGCCTGGCACACAGATCGTATGGAAGCAAGGCTGGACTTTATTTTTGGGCGAAAGAGCAAAGGGAATATCGCTTTTGTGGCCAAAAATTGCGACGTTTTCTTTAATCGATGTTTTTTCTTTGGTTTTTACGTTTAGGGCTGACAAATAAAAGGGAACTTGTAAAATCTCGCAAAAGTCAAAGGAAGCTTCGTTTTCGGAGCCTAGAAACGAATTCATGCCGGGTCCTGGTACCAAAATCCCAAAGCACTCAATTTTGGGGTGCAAGACTTACGCTGATAATCAGGACTCCACTATGATCCAAATGACTTCGGATGGAATCCAAATGAATGTCTGAGGGTATGCAGTACTTCCTAGCAAACGATCGCTTCAGTGTTTGACCTCCTGCGCCAACTTCTATTCGTTCACCGCTAACACACAATAAATCTTCAGTCAATACAACCTACAAGAACAGCCATTAAAATACGTTTTGAACCTGCTAAGAGTCACCTTGATTTGCTCTGGCCTAAAATGCTTAACATCCAACTGGATAGTGAAACCGTGCGGTGTGTTAATGACATCCCCAGCACCAGCTACTGGTCCAGGAGATCCAGGACGAGAAACTACCTACAAACAAGCATTTGAATCTCAAGAACTTATGACAGTCAAAAGACTCACAGTCACTCCTTTTTCATCTATTCGAGAGTCTCGAAAATTGCCTCGATTGTCCTGAAAGGGCTAGTGTTAGAAATGTCACTAGTGAAAAATGATTTTAAGGAATATATAAGGCCGTCCCAAAAGGTCTATCGTTTTTGCTCTAAAAATTTATAACTTTTCGCCATCTCAACGGATTTGATTCTTCATAATTTAGCGGAAAAAAGAAGACTTGCACTCCGTGGATGTATCATGCTGTGCTTGTACTGTACACTCATTGTAGAGATAAATGTGGAAAAAGAAGGCAATTTAGGCTTTGGCCACTCTAAGTTAGGTTGCCAAAAATCTGGGACGTCGTGGGAAAGTCTGAAGCCGTCAGTACATAAAGGCAGCGTCCCGGCAAAATTTCGCTTTCCAGTTTCTTACCTATTCGGAGCCTTCTCGCCATGAGGAACCCATATCTGGGCTTTTCAGCGCATGAATGGTGGAAATAAGCCTTTTCCGAAGCTTTCCGGGTCAGTATTTGGTGGAGAAGCGGGCGGAGACCGTAACGAAAAAGGTGGGCGCGGCTTTTTCCGGCGTATCTTCACTGAATGCGGCCTAAAAAGCTTCGGAAGAAGCGCATTTTTGCCATTTTCATGCGCTGAAAAGCCCAGATATGGGTTCCTCATGGCGAGAAGGCTCCGAAAAGGTGAAGAACTGGAAAGCGATCCTGCTTAGCCGCTGCCTATAAGCTTTATCATCTGTCCTTGCAATGAGAAAACGGTGCTACTTGAACCTCTCTGTGAAAAGTTATGATTTTTGAAAAAAGTTGCAAATTGATCAATTTTGGCATTTTTTATTGTATTCTTAAATCCATAACTTCTCGCAGAAACGTCCCAACAGACAAGTTTTTTTTCGCTTTTAGCAGGTCATGAGATCTATTTGCTGACAATTCCAGATTGTTCTGCAACGTTTTTTTTGGCAGCCTTACTTAGAATGATCAAAGCCCGAATGGTCTTCGCTTTTCATCTCTGGGGAATAGCAGTAGTGAAGTGAAAGCTCATCATGATACATTTATTCATTTACAAAGAGATGACTTTTTCTTTTCAAATTTACAATAGAAGCAAACCCGTCAAGATTGCGAAAAAGTTACAAACTTCCAAAAATGAAACGAAAGAACTTTCGGGACAAATTATTACAATAATTACCTGTGATGAGTAATCGTAGTGGTTTGGCGTAGAGCTTGGATACCGTGTCCTAAAAAAGACGTGTTCATAACAACTCAAAATGATTAATAGTGGACGATAAACTCATTCTCTTATAATCACTCTTTCTATCTAATTTGGCAAAAGCACTTCAACAGAGCTAATCTTGAGGCGACCAAGTTCTTTATCACTATGAGATGAAGTTTTGACGAAATTTCAAATTAAGGGGAGATAGTAAATGATTATCAATGAGGAATGTGGATTACCATAATTGTACAGGGTGTTCCAAAAAAATGGGCACACTGTTTGATCGTTAATAACTACCTTGCTTTGATGTCTTTCGTCGACCTTTGGGAAGCATTCTGTAGAGTGAGGTTCAACATAGATTTACAGTATGGAGAGAACCACCGAGCGCTCTTCGTTACTGTATGATCACGGTAGGAACCTCCAGCATATGGAATAACTGTGAAATATGCCATCTAACAAAATTTCTTTGTAAAAACCTGAAAAATCGTATACTAAGGTATTCGCGCACGCTGATTCCACTAAATAACTTTTTGTGAATTTTTAAAGCTTTTTTGACGGTGTAATCACATTTCTGACAGCTGGGAATTCAGTTATTACGGTTTACCGCGGGATAACTTAGGAAAGAAGCATCACAGTAAAGTGAAAATTTTATATTCGTATTCATCTTATTTCATATTCATATTCTTCCATTACCATAGTATAAAAGTTTTTGGCTTATTTGGTTTTCCGAGGCATATGGTTTCCAATGGCCTAAAATCCTTCCTACCGTAGCGCTACAGTAATGAAGAGCGATCGATGATTCGCTCCATACTGTAAATCTAAGTTGATCCTTATTCTATAGAATGGTATCTAAAGTTCGATGAACGACATCGAAGCAAGGAAGTTATTAACGATCAAACACTGTGCATATTTTTTTGGATACTTTATATTTGTAAGTAAACTTGCATTTCACTGTGTTTTCACTATTCACTTTTGTTGTTGCGCTTGACATGAGAGTTTTCTCCGTGCAATAAATAAAATGAAGTCATTAAAGGATTTTATGTCTGTCCCTCTAAGAATCTCTATGTCACATATTCAGTTTACAAGCAAAACGTCAAATTACTTCTTAAGATAAGAAAACGAGGAGTACAGAAAAGTTAAGCAATTCTGTTTATGGCAATTTTTTTTGAAAAATCCCTATAATACTTTCTTCGAACCCTAGAATTAAGCATTTATCTGTGAAGCAAGCATTTTTTGATGAGTTTGATATTTGAGGTAGGAGATGGCAGAGATGATTTGACTAAATATTTGTTGTGTGAACTCCATTTTGAACTACACTGCTATGTACAGGTTTCTATAGGGGCATAGAAAATCAGCATCAAATGCCCAGAAGAAACAAAGTTTTATAGTTTCTTCTATGAGATTATAATCTATTCCCGATATATTTCTACTACTTTATGGAATTTTGCGCCACTCTAATTCCCCATGTCCATCAGCGCGGAAAATTTGGATTAACTCAAGACGTCGCCGATAAAAATCGTTCCGCCAGAGGTCGTAAATAGTCCGCTGTGACATCACACTGATCAAAGGATGGGCAAGTGAGTGAAAATGTCGTTCTTCAAAGAATTTGGAAAGTTGTTCAGAGGGAGGAGTTTATCTGATAGCATCAGTAAACTTCGCAGCAAAAAAGTCTAAAAAGGCTGCCCTGAAAAAAAGAAAAACTTGGGTTGGAAGTCCAAGTCTGCCATCATTCATCACTTATGAATGAGACCTTGTGAGCAACTTGACGTCTGAATAAATTTCAGATTTCAGTTCCTTTATTCAATTTGCAAAACACCGCCAAAAGTTCAGCTAACTTAGCTGACCTCCTTTCGAGAACCTCGTAAAAAGGTCGTTTTGCAAGGAAGGACGCATTCTGCAAAGCTAAGAAAGGATCAAGGTTTTTTTGAACTAGACAAATGAAAGTCTAATTTTATTGATGTTCTATGAATGGAACATGTTGTTAGTCCTTCGAGAAAGCTAGAAGTAATAGAATAGGATACCTTCAGTTGATGGAAGTTTATGCAAAACTGTCGCGCAATTTGACCTTTCATTTGAAGTTTTTTAGATGGGATTAGTGAGCCATCCAACCGTTTTCCCATTGCCCTCGAAAGAATAGAAATGATTGATGCCAAAAATGTGAAGCTTTTGAGTTTAATGCGGCATTTATAATGACAGCTGTCTGTGCATATCATAACAAAAACTTCGATGAATATGGTGAGTTTAGTCGTATTACATAGTAATCTCACTGAATAAGCGTAAGGCATCGCAAAAGAATTCATACCAAAATCGAAAGAAAACTTTCAAAAAAACTTGAGTAAATCAGAGTCGAACTGACTTGGTTTGACTTCAATACAGGCGAAGAAAAAACAAAAACAATTTTGTTAACTAACCATAAGTGAAGTAAAATCTCGGAATATATCAAAGATCACATTTTTTCCTAAATGGAGTGAAATAATATTGTCTTTTTAACAAGCTTCAAGGTTTCAATACTTTTATGTGATTATATTCGAAATTGTGCAAATACTTCTGAGTTTTTTTTATAAGGGTGCGAAAAAACTTGAGATTTTCATAAAAAATCACAAATCTATTACGGTACTGCAGTATGCAAAATGGCTGGACAAAAGTGCAGGCACTAGTTTCGTACTCAAAATAAAATGAGCCAAAGTTTGCACCCACATGCGAATAATTGCGCTTTGTACATATAAATTGTTTACAGTTTGATAACTTCCAAAGGCAAAAGGAATTTAGCAGAAAATGAAGGCACAACTGTATTTTTCAGCTCTGTAATTCTTTAAATGTCATATTTTTTTCGATTTGTTTCGCAATGGTTCCTCAAAACACTGCTCAGTCCCCTACTAGTAACCGCAGTCAGCTCATCTGACATTTGTGCAGTTGCACAGCTTGCTGCAGAACTTGACTAGCTTATGCCGGAAATGTTTTCGAGTGCAGCCGCGTGCATAATTGGCGTCGCAACAGATCGCCTTACGTTTATAACTCGACTCTGAGTTTCAGCACTCGTTTCAAGCACTTTATGAACAGGGGCGCTATAATCATCTCGCGACTGGATGTTGCATCCAGACGGCAATAAAAGCTAATTTCGGGGTTGTAGACTGGTTTCGCAAACCCGCTGGCGCACGCCCACGCATAGAATTATGCGAATACGGAATGTGTACACGATTGATAGTTCTGGAATTTAGTACTAAAACGATTTACTAGCCAGAAGAAAAACTTTATACGGCTGTAAGAGTTTGCCCTAATTAGATTTGCCGTTTCCGACTTAGAGGACAGGTTTTAGGCAGCATACTCCTATACATTGGGAGAGATTCAGAAAATACGCTTGTGAAAGTTAGGAAAGATTTGGAGAAGTAAATTTTTGAAATTTTGATATTTTACTGTGTTATTAAAATATGCACGAGCATTTGTAACTCATTATGTGAGCTTGCACACAGTACGCGGCAATTGACGACACCTTACTGATAACTCGTCAGTAAAACTTTTTTTGAGGAAACAAACTGCAGAAACAGGCGCTAATACCTAAGAAATATTTAATCAAACAAAAGAGAGAAGGAAACAAGATGAAATCCCTGAAAACTCACAAATTCTGCTTTTACAAGTTGCGAAGTAGCGCGTATGGTGTGTAATATGCATATTGAGTCACAAATAAAACGATCATACCTCTAAAGAGTGGAATTTCGAACTTTGACCAGTACAAGGTAAAAAAATATTGGGAAATTATTTTTTACTTTTCATTTACACTACAAAGCTAAATAAATTCTGTACATATTAGGCTGAAACCACTTGCAAACACCGCCCTCGAGAACTATTGTTCCTCGCATGGTATGCTACAGTTATATAAAAGGTACCAGAAGTCCGCACAAGTTTGCCTATAGGCACTATTCGCCCCCCTCCACCCCCTAGTGTGTGCTAATCTACGCGAGAAAAGTCAACAAATACCGAGTCTAGCTTCCTCGTCATCGTCAAGTGAACTCTGAAGAGTTGAGCAAAGATTCTTGAGTTTGCAAGGCTAAGTATGGGTATAGCAAATAGAGGAAGCACAATAGTTGAGCACTTTGGAAGAGGGAAAAAGTTTTTCTGAATATCTGAGAGAAAGAATCCTCTGGAGAGTATGCAAATTCACCTCGAAGGAAGATCAGGTCCAAACTCTTTTTTTTCGAAAAGTTCTCGGAAAGTCTCACAAACCAGCTAGTTGTTTGCTCCCGCTATTATTTTTTCTGCCAAAGGCGAAGGCGAAACATAATGCAGCCCCTCAGAGCGTATTCATCGCTAAGTGGCCCCCAACAAAAACCCCACCATTCATCAGATGTCTCGTGAGCATAGCGGAAAAGACTATGCATAAACAAGGGCATAGCTCAATCATAGTAAACTAGATAATTGAGGGAAAACCATGGAAAGCATTGACATGACGCAAGATTGACAGAAAAGAGAATATATTTAAATGTGGCCCGAACAGTTAAAATTGAGAAAAAATCGACAAATAATTAGTGTGAAATGTTATGATAAAAGATGTTATCAACAGCAGTTTCGACAGGAGAAAGCAAATGAAGTATCAATTCATTTAAATTCATTAATAAGAAGGGAATGCATCAAAAAATGACGAATACAATACTGAGAAAAAACAGTCGGAAATAATATTTGATTCAAAATTGCAGCACTCAAACATTTATTAATCTCTTCATTTTCAACAAGTCTGCATCTTCTAAAAATCAGAGTAAATAAGTCATAAGCTTTCTAGCAACTCTAGCAATTCAAGCAATAATTACTGTTAGCATATGTACGGAGTGATTTGTTGATCTGACCAAGGGAAATAACTGATTTAGATATAAGTAAAAGCTATGTACAACTTGTGTAGGACATGCGATGGCCCCAATAAAAATAATTATGTTCGGTAAAACAACAGCTATCTCTTGAACCCATGGTGATGAGATGTCTTCGTGACAAATTTATGATTTTCAGAAACGCGACTAAAAACATAATTTTCCCTTCATTTGTTTATTCATTATATTTCTTTTGTTATATTGTTACATGTAACATTTTGTAGAATGGAACGTGGAGGGAATAAAACTTTCTCCAAGAATAGAGGTGCACAAATGTCAGACCAACCTAATGAAGCAATAACCAATATAGTGGATTTACTTATTTTTTATTCTCCCCTACCAAAGATCTCAAGATTTCCCTCATTACCCCTTGAAAAGGAGAACAGGGACGAGATGAGAACACTCACGTGAAAATCGTCTCCAACACATGACTAGCATTTCCATTTAGATAATCAGAAGACGTGCAAGGGAATACGGTAACGATCCGGCCGTCATGAATGCCATAGTAGTCCGACTCGAATGGTCTCTCGGACCATATTGAGCCTTCCAAATAGGATTCAAGATCGTCTTCGTCGAAATCGCGAAAGCCACCGCGTCCGCACGACGGACCTTTGGTCATGCGATGGCCAGTTCTGCCGGAGAGCATGGGAATTACAAGTACAAAAGAGGCGAACGGCCGCGAACGGAATCAATATGGCGAGATTTTTGCATAAGAGATGATGGAAGAAGTGCAAGAGAGCGGGGCAGGGGGGAGGGGGGGGGGATGAAATGTTTGAAATGCAAAAGAGCAAAGGAGGGAGGGGCTGCCTGTGTGTAGACAGAGTGTGACAAAGAAGCCAGCATGGATTCATAAGCGCATTAATCAAATGGCGCAGCGGCACCGCCGCCGCCGCGACCGAACCACCCGAACTCCGCCTCGACGGAACGAGGACGCACTCCGCGACCGAGGTGGCGGTGACCATAACGGGCAAAATGGCGACTCGGTCGTGTCGAGCAAGGCGATTCGATCGCATCGCAATCGCGGCGAGAAAACAGAACGATGACACTTCTTCGGCTGTGTAGCGTGGACAAACATCGTCGCTGCGTATGCACATGTTGCTGTTCGGAAGCCATTATTCAGCAAACTTTGACGCGAACAATGTCCAGGCGAAAGCACAATCTTGGAGAGAGGGAAAAAGTAACACAGGCTGAACTGCTTCAAAAACTTAGGAGAATTGGGTCTGGGGAAGAAAAGGGGAGGACGAGAGAACGACATTTTTGGAAAGTTCTCCGCCTTACTCATAAAGCTATGCACAAACTTGTTATTTGTAAATAACTGAAGTATTCTTATGAATTTTTAGGAAAGTGAATATTGGCCTGCGCAAACTGGCTCCCGCCACTCCTCCTCTTCCTCCTCCTCCCCCGCCCACACCCTGATTATCACAAATTGGGGTTAAATTGACAAATTGGTCCCTCTCACTGGTATTTCGTAAGAGATAACTTGAAATTCTAGAATCACAGGCTTATGAATACCAGAAGCCTTCGCAAAAGTTTTACTTTTTTGAGGTCCAGGAATTTTGCCATCTCCCTACCTCAAAAAAAGTTCATTCTTGGAGCACGGTGAGTATTTGGAGAAATTTATGGTTTCAGGACACAGTAGAAAATCTTGCACTCACTTATCTTTTCCCAATAAAAGGACATTAAACAAAAAGTTACACAAAAAGCGATTAGGAAGCTCTCCAGCGTTTGATAAAAATGATAGACTCAGTCATTGAAGGGAATTATCAAACAGTTCTTAACAAATAGGATTAGCCATCATTTGCAGAGCCGCATTTGAAGGGAGAGAAATGCTTTCTTCTTCAGGGTTTTCTCAGGGAAAATTGTCTCAATCAACACTCTTTGTAACGCTCAGAATATACGATCGATGGTAAGCAAATACAAAGAACTGCCAAGGTTCTGTTTACAAAGCAAAATGAACGGTTACGAGGGGTGGAAAGGTTTGCGAAAGTATGGCGGTAGTAGTAAACTAATTTGGCAAGAAAAATAAGAGGTTCCAGATTTTAGAGCAGGATTTTCAGAAGAAGGGCTCGGCACTTATAGGCAAGCTGGATATCGCTTTTGGGATAAAGCAAGGAGGGTTCCATTTTTGTGGCCGGAAAGACATAAAAATAGCGGCGATTTTTTCGGTCATTTTTTGGAGATTTTTTAGGGATTATGGTCTAGGGTCGAAGGGGACGTAAAAATTCACAAAAGTCAAGGGGTACTTCCTTTTTTTCTATTCTCAACTAGCTACCTCGTGTCGAGCCCTGTTCAGAAGAAATAAACATTTTCTGGTGTAAATGGTAAGTATATTTTCGTGGAGGCTCAAATTGAGTGTTCTCACCAATTCTGTTATGCACAAATATAAATAGAAATTTTCTCTTTTTTGGACAAACAATTTTTCAACAGAAAGCCTTTTAAAAAATGCAAAATCAAAGTCTGTCTTCCAAGAGCTTATTTTACTCTAGACTGAATCAAGTTGTCATGGAAAAGCTTGATCCAATTGAGAAAGCAGTAAAGCTGGCCATGGCTCATCAAACATGTTGCCAAAGCAACTCCTTTTGGAAGCCATGGAGATATGAAAAGGGGTTTGACAGCAACTCGAAAAAAAATTCGTACACTTGATAAGGAGGGTATATGACAGCTGACAGAGAGAAAATGGCATGATGGGCTCCTGTTTTGGATTCCCCTCATTTACAAAATGTCATGATGGACTTCTTTTTTGGAAAATTTCCCTCATTTGCATAGTAAAAAGTTTGAAGGGCAAAACAATGTCGACTTTCCGTTATTTTTGAGTGCACGTGAATTGCACCCTGCTCGTAGCAGGTCTTGAGGTATGTTTATAAGTGATTTCGAGTGTTTTGGCCATTGCACTTCGAACTAGTGAAGTCGAAAGTTGGTGGGAAATCTGGTCAACAACGGAATAATGACTGCACTTATACGTTTTACTTGGAGATTTTCGATTGAAATTGTTGATTACTACTGACGGAGTCGATGTCGGGTTATTCCACTTCTGAGAAAATTTCGGAAATTTATGGAGTGATCAGATAGAATCTAGTTAGATTTTTAGAAGCGAGATGTATGCGAGTGGCAAAAATGCCAAGAACGGGCGTATGTTTTGCAGCTAATAATGGCAACACATACCACCAGAAGCAAAGAATGTCAATAATGGTGTGATTGTAATTGCTTTCCCCTTCCATTAACGCATACATAAACAATATTGCGGTTTGGTGGTTGGCTTGGTTGAACAGTAAATAGCTGCATTCGATATCAAAACAACAGAAACCTACCGCAGGTGAAGAAAAAGCCATCGAAGCACGGCCAATTTTGTCATAGAGATGAGTTCTCTTCTTTTTAAATCTTTGAGCATCAACAAAGGCATAGGAACACCCACATTTAGAGCCGATGCATGATTTTTAACAGTGAAGCAAGCTCCAGAAATATAAGATGAGTCAATAATCGAATCTTTTCTCAAAATTCCCTTTTAATCGCTATGAAAGACAAAATACTATCAAGTTTTGGGTTCCTACAACAGAAAGCGCTCGGCGCAGGCACTTATAAGCAAGCTGGATATCGTTTCTGGAACAGAAAACAAGGGAGGGGGAGTATCGTTTTTGTGGCCGAAAAGACACACAATTTGCGACGTTTTTGGTCGACTTTTCGTTTTTTGGAGATTTCTTATGGGTTATGGTTTAAGGTCAAAGAAGACTACGTAAAAATTCGCAAATGTCAAGGGAGGCTTCGTTTTTTGACCAAAAAGAAACCCAATAAAACGCCTGATTTTTGTGATGATCCAACAAATGCATCTCAATTGTAATGCAATCATATGAGTTCTCCGGAAATGCACAAATTGATATGATAAAAGTAACGAACTATAAAAGCGTTTTGATTGCGAAGCTAAGCGTACAAACTGCTTTATTGTAGCAAAGACTGAGCATTTTTGCTTACTTACGAGACGAAAAAGCAAACAAAAAAGGAATGCGCGAACTAGTTTTGTAGAGCGCTCGAAGAGTCACTACCTAGGTTTTCGCTTATTCGGGAAAGCTTTGAATTTGCTTAGCAGAACGACAGCCTATTTTTTTCTTCTTACAAGGTCATTTTTATGTTTCTGTGCATCACTTCTAAGAAAACTTATTATATATTTCTTGGATGTGCTGCATACTAGTGTTTGTAATGTGTGTTATTTTCAAAACATTTGAGGATGTTATAACATAACAATCATCAACTAATCATACAGTTCAAATCTATAGAGCTTTTTTAAGAGCTTATGAAATTCTAAAACTAGTCTTTGAAAGCCGAGTTGCCTTCAGCTACATATGAATGGACATTTTGTGCAAAACTCAATAAACTTCATAGCCATGGCAGCTTTGCGGGTACTGGACAACATTCAAAAAAGATTTATTATTTGCATAAAACTATAAAGTAATTCTATTGTGTAATTTCCACTGATTTATGTTGAAGACACTGACAGTGACTGGTAATTCAAGTTTGAGTGGTTCATATTAGTGAGCTGAAAAAATTCAAAACTTCCTTGATACGATGTTTCATTTTGTTTCCATACTACACACCAAAGCTTTGATCAAAGTTCGAAAAGCAGTCTTGATGATTCTAATCAAAGATACCACATGCGTCTGATAATGGCAAAGCTGTTTTGTTCGCAGGAGTTTGAGCGGCAAACTTTAATTTTCTCAGGCATTTCTAAAAAAAATTTTGAATGGTAGCAAACATTCTCTCAAGTAGAAGTTTCTTGAAGAGTTTTAAACTTATGTTTCAGAAGATACTCATTGGAGTGTGTGTATGTATTGTCTAAAATAAAAATTGTTTGCAACTCGCTGCAATGCAAACAGTAGTCCTTGTTCATAGGAAAGTAAACATTATTTCATGATCCACGTTCAAAAAAATTATAATTTATTAGGTTGGTGCAAAAATAATGAGCGTTTTTATTTTCTTGCTTTAACAAAGCAAGCAGACTCAACCCAACAAAGGGTAAGGGGTATTGTTCGATAGAGCAAAGCAAGCTCTACAACATGGCACTCATGCCTTTGCGCCATGCTCGATCCGCGGAGAGTACGAACTCAAAATCTAAAGATTTCCAAATGCCCAAAAAATCGAAAAAAATCAGATCTTCGTCCAAATAATTTCTACGGACCTCCCACTCGCTCACATCAATACTATCGATACCTGATATCCATATGTGCGATTGCCGTATTTTTTCCTTGACTAGAAACTGAGAAAACGAAAATTTCCCTGATTTTCTCAAAGCAATGCTGAGCCGTTTTTGCATATGTAGTTCTATACTACAAGCCTAGGTAAGCATAACTGTAGATTTTCAGCCCATTCCAAGCGGTAGTTTTCGAAAAATAACGAATTCAAATTTATTCGTTTCAGTTTCAGTGCTAAAATCGACATTTCTCGAAAAGTAACGCTCGAAATAGGCTGAAAAACTACAGTTGTGCTTACCTAGGCTTGTACTATAGAACTACATATGCAAAAACGGCTCAGCATTGCTTTGAGAAAATCAGGGAAATTTTCGTTTTCTCAGTTTCTAGTCAAGCAAAAAATACGGCAATCGCACATATGGATATCAGGTATCGATAGCATTGATGTGAGCGAGTGGGAGGTCCGTAGAAATTATTTGGACGAAGATCTGATTTTTTTCGATTTTTTGGGCATTTGGAAATTTTTAGATTTTGAGTTCGAACTTTCCGTGGATCGAGCATGGCGCAAAGGC